GGATATTGTTATCAGCTTTGTGGTGTAATACACAAAGTTTCTTTATAAAAGCGGACCGTCGTTTGACTTCCATTCTATAGTTTTTGGATTAAAGGTGTACAATTTGAGTTATTTAAATGTTGGTAATGTTAGAAGAAACTAGCTTAGTTTTGTTGCACCTGGTTCCCAATTGAAATATGTTAATGGCCAAGTACTAGAACCTAGTAAAGTACTAGTATCTAGTAGTTTCTTGGCAGATTAATTTTAAATACAAAAGATTATGACAAATCTTATATCTTTTCTAGTATATGTTACTGAAAGTCCTGTGAGAAACAATAAGGTTATACAAATCGAATTTTTGATGAAGCAAAACATGAGTGTGTTATCATTAACAAATGCTAAAAATTAAGGTACATACCTTCACGTCCACAGTTCAAATATGTATGGTTAAACCCACTACATGTTTCGCCTATACATAGGCATTGTCAAGTGGTCCTTCAAGAACGTTTCGTCCATTGTAGACTCGTCAAAAACATTTAAATAAATACACAAAACACGATACGAAACATTTGACACTTAGTAGGCCTACTATTTACCGGTCACGGTACGGAGGCAGACTCAGCAGTTTTGATTAATAAATATATTGTCATGATAGGAAAATAAATAAGCAAATTAATAAATAGCAAAAAAGCAGAGGTTATCGCTACAAATGCATACAGACAGTCAATTAAACTTATATGTAGATAACATACAAACACATGTCCTCCCTGAAAAACCAACCCAAATTGGGCCACTTAAAATAAAATCAAATATTTACAAAAAATTGAATTTTCCTGTAAAAGAAACCAGAGCAAAGTAATTTTTTTTAAGGAAGTGGCCGTGACATTTGTCTAATTACGTGTCAGACCAAACTTGGAATCTCCAACTGCAGATGTTACTGCTGGAGCAGTTTTATTGCAAGTCATTCAACAGTGTGCTTAATCTAGTGATTTTAATATATTATACTTCATCATTTACATAACAAAACATATGGATATTTCTAAACCTAATTTCTGAGCTAATGTATTACAACATTTATTTATGGTCCAAAATAGGAACATAAAATATGCCAACAAATATAGGAATGAATCAAAGAGTGGTCAAGAACATAAACAAATTCTTAATTTTAAAAATAATCTTGTTTGATCAATAAAATAACAATCTAAAATTTTTTGTTGCATTTTATTTCCAATAAATGATTTTATATTAGGAATTTAAATTGTAAATACTAAGAGACAGTTGATTAGTCTTATATGTGTAGATCAGTTTCTAAAACTATTAAATACTCGTAAAATGTCAACATTTGTTATCTTGTAGTATCTGATGTGCACAAAAAATGCATTTCTTTTTCAGCTCTTTGGAAGAAGGTCATATTTTATATCATTGTATTCTATAAAAAAAATGTTAATAACCCTAGATACCTATATGGTTCTCTGTACTAATTGGTATATTTATTTATAATGTATGAATTTTGGTACATACTGTAAATATGAGTACAGGAACAGCGATTTACAGTAATCTAGGTAAAATAATATATAGTCACAAATAAAGTAAATTAGATGCCAAAAATATTTTATACCCATGGTTATCCCGTGAAGACATTGCGCATTTAAGTAAGTGTAACTCTTGACTTGGTTTTGTTTTAAAACAAGTAATGCAATTTCTTTATACCTTTTACAGTTAATCTTTTTTTTGACAACTACTTGAAGTATAAGATTTGCAATAAACTATAATGGTTTATAGTATCTCACACCTTAAAAAGCGATTTACCTGCGTCTATTAGGCTACAAAATTATTAATAACAGTAACTTTAAATAAAACAATTTCCATAAACAATTCAATTTCTAGTTTTTTTTAGAAATTCAAACATTCTGCAAAGCAAATTGTTTAGAAATTTTTTAGGTTTAGCATTTATTGTATAACATGCTTGTATCTATTTTTCCAATATAGCCTATAAACTGTTTGATTTACTGATTAAAAAAAGAAACTGTGGTCACACATTCAAACGAAGGATCAGTTGTTAAATAACAATTAACATTTAAACCTTTATAAAGAAAGTAAATAACCATCACTGGATCTTTGAAATCATACATTTTTAAGTAAATCAAAAGCTAGGAGGGGCAAGGCCCTAAAGAAAGTTACCTGTTTTAATACGATTCGTAGACTACCTTCGCTAGATTGCAAAATAGAGGTTTAATGACACCTCGTTTGTAAAAATCGTCTAAGTAGGAATACCGAAAAAAATATGTTCCATAGAAGCCTTTATTGTTTTAAGTATATAGATAACTTTTATAGTTTTACGATTTCAAAAGTCTTCAAACGAGAATAATTTGCGCATTTCGGCAAATTTATTTGCGGAGTCTTAAAAATGTGCACTCGTAAAAGCAGTTCAGTGTTTTTAGTTAGCATTTGATTTATACATAAAAGAACCAATTAGTTTTATAGTTTAAAGGAATCTTGTTACTTTGGAGTTTCAAAGTTCAAGAGGAATGTGGTTCTTACTGGTAATCCTTACAAATTGCTCTACATTTTTATAGTTTTCTTCTCTAAGATTTCTTTTGAAAGATAACTTTAGTAGTGACATAAAAAATAAATATACATGAATTTTTATATTGTTAAATTTAATATCGCATAATTGTAACACTTAAAACAAATTCAATCAATAATTTTTTTTGTTATTTTTGAATTAATTATTTTCACTTTTAATAATTATTTTTTAAACGAAAAACTAAACGGAAAATATGAAATGATTTATAAATTACATTTTAACACTTTGACCTCCGTAGCTAAAGGGTAATTGGTCTTTGAATAACTTGAGAATTCTTTTATAGGAGGAGATGTATGTATATTTTATTATTTGTAACCAAGAAAATGATCAAATATGTTAAAAGAATTTTGGTAAAATTATACAAAAGTAAATGTCTCTAATGGTACATTCTTTCCAAAGTTTTTAATTCTGTTATAAATGTTGCATTTGTGTTTTTTGAATATCTACGATAGTCTTTATTAATTATATATTTTGGATCATTTAACGATGATTTAAACTAAAATGTATAGTTTCAATTTGCAGGCCATATTTTTTTTATTACAAAGTTTAGGCGCAATGTGGTACTTTTCTTTGAATCCTAACAAAGTTTTTAACATTGACTTTGACTTTCCTTAAGTGTCCATCTTTTGAAGTTTTAGTTTGAAAGCAAAAAAACATTTTTGAAACTTCATAAATAATTATAGTTCTTGTAGCTTTACGAGATAGGTACTCTAGATTTGATTAACGTTTTGTTTATACAACATTGCATCAAAAGTCATGCTTAGGAAATAATATGTGTTTTACTTGTTGTCTATTTGTATGAATTTATAAGTTTCAGTTTTTTTTATATACTAGTTCATTATTTTTATTATAAAATGGTAATAGAACCAAGAAAACTTGTTATTGATACAAGCAAACTACTTATTTTATGCATTATTAGTCAAGATGATAATACCGTTCAATTATTATAATATTATCACCTTAAGTCTTTTAAAATACGAATAATGTGTATCCTAAGATGTGTATTATATGACTTATAATATATCTTTGGCACCCTAAACCTCATTTAATAACTCATGCTAAGAAACTTATTATTACTTGTATAATTTGGTTATTTATCGATAACGTTCTTCTTCTATATGTCTTGATAAAGGAATATGATAATAGTAGTTTACGCAACGATTGCGTTAAGTGAGTCTTTACGACACGAGTAGAAAATTTAAGGCACCAGCCTTGGCGAGTGCCTTAAAAACTTCTACGAGTATTTCAATTAAGACTATTAACGCGAGTTGCGTAGACTACTTTACCTACGACCGTTTTTTAACTAATATCAATCTGGATTTAATTACTAACAATCACTAATGATAACTTTTTAGAGAGGTTATGTTTTCGTGTATTGTCATTGGCACTGAAAGTGATGCAACGACTTGTTGTATAATCAGCTGATTTCCTGCAATTACGTGTTTGTTAAACTTTGTTAAATATTACATTGCTAGCAGCATTCTTACCATAAATTAGTTATTTGTGCAACTAGTGAGAAAAGTGAGCAATTGACTCACTCGAGAGAAATCCTTACTCACGAGCCGTAGGCGAGTGAGGAATGGTTTCTCGAGTGAGGCAATTGTACTTTGAACTCGAGTTGCACATTATACTTTTCCTACAGTTACCATAAAACAAATAAATTTGTGAAGAAACATAACCTATTTTTACACAAAAGTGAACTTTTAATATAACATTTAATGTGAAGTGACAAATACAACAGTACAACAGCTGACCAGCTGATTTACAGCCAGTGCTGCCAACGTATTTCGCGCGCATACGACGTTGCCTGCAGGTTACGCGCTCACTATTTCGTGCCTTCACGTTGCAAATCTGGAGTGAGAGAAAGTAATTAGAGTGAGACAATGTTAACATTGTCTCACTGATGAGCGAATTGGCCACTTTGCTTTCTCAAATCAGTGAGAGAACATGTACATTGTTAGGTAACTGTAGGAAAAATATTGTATCAGGTACAATTCGGCAAATATTTCATTTATTTTTGGACTTCCACCAACTTAATTAAGAATACGCGAGTATCAACATGAACAAGTCGGATCAACAATTAAATTGGTCAACTGATCAGCTGATCAGCTGATTAGTTGACGTTTGAAGCATTACAATTTTAATTCTTTTATCTCAATACTTGAACCTCATTGGTCCGTTACCTGTGTGGATATGAGAAAACTATGCGGATATGAAATGAAACTATGCGGATATGAAATTAAACAGCTGTAAAGTGAAACTTTTCAATTCTAAGAACTGGACTGAAATGGCTACTTTAAAAAACGGTCGTAGGTAAAATAATTTAAGCTGCCCTTCCACATGGGCCACAGATGCCTGTGTGTGGAAAGTGTCCAGCAAGGGGTAGATCAGTACAGTATAACGGTGAACTGAACCTCAGAGTAATTTTGTTTTATTACTCTGAGACTGAACTGATAAATGTAGCGGCAGGTACCAGGATCTCAGCCCACGGCATCGCTGCCTTGGACCCGAAGCCCATGGCATTACCGACTGAGTCGACTACCTAACAAACATATACGTAGTATAATTAATATGAATAATTAATACTGATAAGGTGTTAAATTCTGTGTAGTTAGGTGGTGATACTGTGTCATTTGTATGTCCGAGATTGTTGATTTTTACTTCATTGAGGAAAACGTTTTGGTCTGGTTATAATAGTTTAGTCTTAAGTAGGGACGAAGTCTCCTTTAAACATTTCCAATTACTTAGAGAAAATAGTTTTAATCAAATATCTCAACTAGAATCGACCCTTCAAATTAATAGGGTATCGATATTTCCATAATTTGTACTAGTTTTACAAATATCAAAACAAATTCGGTATTTCAGGTGTTAAGTATAGTGAACCTGTAATTGTCTGTTTTTTTTTTCAATGTAGGTATAGTCAACGAATTTTAATATACGTACTGTTTATTTCAGCTTTGGTACTGCATGTATTAAACATGTTAAGTTTATTCAAAATACTTTTGTTCCTTAACAGTGGCATCATTAAGTTAATGCAATAGTGATACAATATAGAAAAAAACTGAGTCATTGTCAATGCTCACTCAATAAAGTATGGAATAAAGTATGGAATAAAAAGTAAAAACTCACGAAATAACTATTCAAAATCATTAACACCAATGATAAGGACAAACGTTTTTCCCCATTTAACCCTTTTTCCATTTTCATCAAGTAACAAGTTGCTTACTGTAAAAATGTTTCATTTGATATTTCAAACCTTAGTAAATAAGAGTGCCAGTCGTAAAGCTACAGCATCCTTGGGTCTTATTGGCCTATCCTGAAAAAGTACCTCTTCTCAGTAACTTGGTTTGGGCCTTTGCTAAGTTGTTCATTACATTTGTACCCAGTGTCAAAAACAATATGTTATGATAAATTATTAGAAATTTTTTATTAGATATTCAATTGAATACTTAACTTGCCATAAATAAAAAACCTCACATGATAGTAGTATTTCTATTTATAACCACGCTAAAGCCTAAGTTAGTATTAAGGAAAATATCTTTAGTTTAGTAGTACAATATTGAAATAATTGTGTTAGTGTTATGATTGGATTGATTTTAAAAAGAAATACAAATTGCTTACTTTAGCCTTGGCATACACTCGAATACAACCGAGTTACAAGGTAAGTTTGTCGTTTTACAGTTGAACATAATTATAAGTTAAAGAATAATGCACTGTATTAAAAACTATTTATACTATGTAAGATGTCTTACTTTGGCCCTTTTTAGTTTATCATTTTGTTCTTTTATCATGCACCAATACCAGGGGTTTTTTTATGTACAACTAAGACCACAATGTTATCAACCTTTTTTGTAAATATAATTTTACACTCTACGAGATTGTCTTTGGAGAATATCCACGAAGAGCTGTTCAGGGAGAGTAGTGTGCTGAAAGCCACTATTGGCCTATTTGGCTTTTCAAACATAAAAAAAAAACATACAACAACACATGCACACACCTCCTGTTCTAAAAATAAGTAAATATATTCAAAATGAATTAAGAACATTGATAAATGTATACAACCATTGGTCAGTATACGGTCATTAAAGGGGTTACTAAATCCTGTTGCTTGTTCATGGTATTGTTGTCCATAGGTTTTCACATCACCTTCCAAAATATCAATTAGTTTTTAATGATGCAGTTGTTTGAATCTCACATAAGCAATGAGCTCTTCTTTATTGCGGAAACTTTGTATCTTGAACTTATTATTTTTATATCTGGCCTCGTCATAGTTCTCTAAACTTATGTTTCAAGTAGAGAATGAAAATAGAATTATTTTACATTAACTGCGTAACATGTTTGTCATGATCACCAAATATAACTATGAAATACTGTAACTACAATATCCCCACCGCAGCAAACCTGTAGACAATGATGCTCTACTAACAAGGATTTAAACTTAAGCACAACGTTTGAATCTTAAAGTATATATTTTTCAAAAGAACAAAGTTCGGAATCAATGAGGTTTTTTACATTTAACCTTTATAAATTGCTTTACATTTCCTTTAGCTGTTCCTTAAGTTCCCTGCTCGTGATATATTATTCAGATGGAGGGGAACAAGTTTTCTCTTTACTAAAGTATTACCAAAGTACTTACGATATCAATATAGTTTACAGTTATTATAAATCAATACAGTTATTACTTTATCAACAAGAAAGATACATGACATAAAATAAGATAAAGATGAATAGTAGCAAATAGCTATATTGAATCATTATTTGAAAGCAGCATACTACTAGTTTTTCCCCGTAATTTAGGCATATATAAATCAAAAAGCGTGAATTCCTTTTGACTATTTCAAGTCCATCGCTAGGATTATCTCCTAGTTCAACCCATAGATCGCCACTTAACCCAGCCTCCCTCAGCATAAATTGACAAATTATTTTGGACAAAGTGAATCTGAGGTTAAACTTAAGTTTAAACCACAATCGAAGTTAAACTAGATCTGGGAAAAGCGGTCCTAAGTGTACTGTTTATTTTGCTTTCTTTAACTGTATTTATTTTTATTTTATTTATTTTATTTTATTTCATTCCAACGGCAAAACCATTATACATTTCAATACAAGAAAGATGGCTAGGTACTATTTACATGCTAAAAAAATAATGGATACCGAGTGCTAACAAATACACAACATAACAAGCAAATAAATAGTAGTAATAACAAACGATGCAACAACAACAACAACAGCAACACTGTGGCTAATTAATAAACTATTGACATACCACAAAGAAGAATTTCTAGAAAAGCTAACAGGCACACATGGAAGTTCCTTAATAGATAGTAGAAATAAATATAACAAATAATATAAATAAATATAACAAATAACAAATAACAACAAATGACATTAACAACGACAGCAACAATAAGTCTTTTCATATATGTTCAATAGTGTGACGGGCTTCGAGAACTCTTCTACGAACAGAGGAAGTATTCTCGTGGAAAAAGTCGACTGTGTGGCAGAATCGATGCCCAAGCCTCATCATTCTTGCAAGTGGGCTGTGAAAGTCGTAACCACGTGCATGATGCCTCCTGCCGAACAGATCCAGAGATCGGGTCACTGATGGAGTGCGGAAGTCCACGTGAGTGAGAAGCATTGGGCAGTCCAACAGGCCATTGATCAGCTTGACGAGAAATACTACATCTGCCACTTCACGTCTGACTTGAAGATCATGGAGATGGAGGTCAGCCTGGAGATCAGCAAGTGGAACCTCCGTCCAACGAAGCCCCTGTCGTACTCCTACCAACCTTAGGAATTTCCTCTGCACAGCATCAAGCTCGTCAGTCAAACCAACTTGGTAAGGGGACCAAACTGGGCTGGCATACTCCAGGAGTTGGCGTACAAAGGAAGAATATAGTGTTTTTAAAACAACAGGGCTTGTCATTCCACGAGTAGATCTAAAGATGTATCCCAATAGCCTGTGAGATCGTTTGCAGAGATCATAAACATGTTCATGAAAGGATAGATCAGCACTAAAGGTAACACCCAAATCCTTGATGGAAAACACCCTTTCTAATGGTTGTCCTTCCAATGTGTACTGGAATAGCAGAGGACAGCGTAGACGGCCGAAGGTCATTACAGAGCAATTAGAAAATTTTAGTTTCATATTGTTTGTTCCACACCAATCCATGATACAATTAATACTAGACTGCAGTCGTAAAAAATCATCTTGGTTGGAGACCATAGTAAAAATTTTGACATCATCAGCGAAGAGCAGAGCTTCCACTTGCAAACTCGACACTATGTCATTTATGAAGACAATGAATAAATATGGACCCAGTAAGGAACCTCGGGGAACGCCTGACACTTGGTGAAACTCTTTGGAGAGCAAACCAGGCAATTTCCTTACCAAGCAATTTCCAGGTATTTAGTCCTTACCTTCAATGTTTATTTTCCTAATTTGTTATTTTTAATACTGTATTAAAATTTGGTTTATAGGCTTTTGGTAGAATACAAAAAACAATCACAAAAACAACGAAAAATAACTAAAAATATACGAACCAAATAGCATCATAAAGACAAAGTCTGCAAAGAAGTTTGGGAAGTAAGCCGCGAAGTAGTTAAGATCTTCATAATGTTGCCATTTGTAGGCACCAACTTTGATAGTAAAAAGGAAGTTTGGACATCTTTGGAAATGCTGATACAATCAAAATATACCATCTGTTATAAGTTTTACCAATGTTTATTTCGGCAAATGTTTAGAAAAAAGTTATTATTCTATTTTAAAACTTTTATCATTTCAAATCCAATTTCTTAAATTTAAGAATTGAAGCTAATTATTTCAAAACAAAATTTTTAAACGTTTAAATCTATGATGAAAAATTGGCAATGCTTTATGAATCTATTTTATGGATTTAAATGTGTGAAATATTTGACGATTTGATCACACCCTTTTAACATGTATAATATGAACTTTAATTTCACATTGCAATAAGAGGATGAAACGGTTTCGTTTCCCTTAACGGCAGTTTTATGTACTAAACATGCGAGGTTAATTTATCTTGCTCCACTTGAGTAATTTGTGTGTAGTTAAGCCTCTAAATTACTCTGGGTTGTTTGTGTTTACTTAATACACGGGATATAGCCAGAAAAGGTCACAAATAACACTATATTTTATAAATTATCGTATGATATAACTAAAGATTAAATGTCCAGATGTTACATTTTACAGTACTATTGCTTTTCTAGGTTCAAAATGTAAAATAAAAAAAGGTTTGATTAGTTGGTTTGAGGAGGTTTAAGGTTTAAATCTCGGACGTAGTCAAATTTAATCTGACTTAAGAAGTATTAAAGAAATGTGCATGTATATATTAAGTGTTGGTTATTTAACGGTAAAACAATAAAAAAACAAAATGTAACAATGTAACAACAGAAAATGAACAACAATACAAAACAACGTACCTGAGTTGTCCTTTATTTAGTAATGTAAGGATGTTTTGTACAACTAATATATTATTGATCTAAAAGTTTGATCACATTACCTTATTTATATAAATATTACATCACCGTCACAATTTATATTTCAACACTATCCTTTTGAACATCTACATATTTAATTACGTTTAAACTGATTTAGTCGTTTAAAATGTTAACCCTCGTTATTAAAAGCTGTTCTAAAACTTGTATAATTTTAACCTACTTAGATGAAATATTTGTTTACACCGGATAAAATCATGTTAATATCATGTAAGTTATGATTTAAGCATAGGGTTTACAATCGTTCAGCACGTACAGACCGTATCTCTTCGGTTGTCTGACGGGACTAATTATTTGTAGAGGGAATTCACAAATCCAATTAAACGGTTGTTTAACCCAATCCGGCTTGGCCTAAGCTACGAGTCTGATAAATAGATGTAGAAAAACTCATTGGAAATTTGCAATATGACAAAATGTAAAAATATTTCAAGAAAACATTATTGTAAAGCAAAATATGAAATGTTTTACTGCTTATAGAAACATTTTTTACCTACTTCATTCATTTGGAATTGTGCTAAATTAAAACATCCCTATGTGAATACGGCTCAGATTCAAGATTGATTGTTGTAACTAAATACACGGACAGATGGAGATATATCCGTAACTATATGATTTATTTCGCTAAACAACGCAGGAGGTGTAGTTATACTACATTAACAATAAACAAGGATGAACATATTCTAAACCGGATAAAGACGTATAACAAACATCAGTTTCAAATAAACTTAACTGTATTATTGATCTTGAATTATGATTTATAATTCCTTTTATCAATTAAGAAAATTATTATTTCTCAGTATTACTTTCAGGAATCTAATTAAACTTTAACCAGACCAAACGTTGCTTTACATTGGTATGGCTGTTAATGTTAGTGACTATAAACTGCTAAATTATGAAGATTAGATTGCTTTTGTTACTCTGGTTCTAGAACAGTCGTTTCATGGCCTATCTTTGATTTTGAAACCTATATATCTTGCAAATACTTCATCGGATTAAAATGATTTTAGTTCTGTTTTGGATGATCATAAAAAGTGTATTGCTTTTAAAAATATTCACGGTTAATTTTTCATTGGATGAAATAAAAATTAGTCACACAACCAATCGCTTCAATGCAAATGAATGTTGCAAACCTTGTATTTTTCTCTATTTACTTTTTTGTTTTATATTGTTCTATTTTTCATTATAGCGGGTTTGGGTTATATACCTGTAGCTATTGTAAATTGTTTGAATAAATTAATATTTTATGGAAGGTTTCTCACCAATACCTCGAATTCAATTATGCAATTGAGAGGTTTGTGTAGCTTACAGTTATCTTGAAATTTCATATAGATGTTTAGATAGCGGTTACATAATATATTATTTGACTGAGCACTATCAACATGTAATATTATGTTTTTAATAAACATTTAATATTTTCGACATTCTTTGGTCGACTCGTATCAGACACATGCAACTAGTGTAGCTTGTCACGGGATAAGACACTGTGGCTGTACTACTACAGAAATGTATTGTGTTAACCAACTGACGCTTGAGTTGTTGATCGAACTTTAGTTGAAAGTGCTAGTATTTCAATCGGTATTTATTAGTTTTAGTAGTCTACTCGTCCCAGTCGGCCGACGGTGACTGTTGTTGAGTTGTCTGACGTGTTGCACTAACTAGTTTAGCTTTAAGGCCCTTCTACAATTAATTGCGGATTCAGCTACCTTATGTGTGCGTGCAATCCATATTAAGGTCACGAATGTGTGGCATAGCCGGCGGGAGAGCCCATCCCTAATAACCTGTGTCCGGCTTGGCCGAAACAGATCATTACTAGTCCAGGCGCTAAACGGGTTGAGTATGCACTGAAAGTCTGACAAAATTTGACTTTTGATTATTGTTGGGGACATCTAGTAGATGAAAAAAATCGATGATGTCGCATTTCTAGGGTGGTCACAACTCGGGGGGGAGGGGGGGAAGTTGCGCGGGTCATCGGTTTACGTTTCCACGTCCAACTCACAAACTGTTTATGATAGAAAGGTGGTTTGAGCGTCTATCAACGCCTAAATATATTGTCTTTCAAAAAGGTTATTACAACCTTTCTTCTATCTCTTATACTTTAGGCGCTAATCAACATTTATTGCAAAAAATAAAATTTAAAAATACTTTAAAATGAAATATCGGAAATATTGCGCTTGTTTAGGGCATGTTACAAACTATTTATGGTTAGAAAAACTAACAAGTAGTACAACAACACCAAGTTTACAGAAATCTGTGCAAAACAACAGAGCTACGTTGATTTCAGTAAGAGTAAACGTGGAAAATTCGTAGTAGTACCGAGGCGCGCATGGACGGTACGTAGCCCACAGTCAATATAGGTTTGATGTTGTAAGTAACTATGGGAAAGCTGAATTTTTCTTTGCTGTTAGACCATGTTGAGATGAGTATTTTCCCAAAAGTCCCCACTCCTACCCCTTTGTGCTTTCCTCTACCCCCCCCCCCCTTTACATAAATTTACAGTCTCTTAGAAATTAAGCTATAACTTTAAAACGGGTAAGGATAATAACGCAATCTTTTATTAATCATTTTGCGTTACGATAATCTACAAAAAGAATTATTAGATAATTAAATATTTAAAAAGAATTATTACAGATTTCTGAAGAAGAAGGAGAAGAAAATGTGTTCATTGTAATAAAATATCAATACAGTGTTTTTTATTTAAATGCAAAGAACAATGGTCAAAGACCGTCTGTTTTGTGTTAGACACACTGATTTTGAAATATTTTAAAACAGTTTAAAAAAATTCCATGAATCACATACAATTATTCATAAAATAAACTGATTTCAACTACAGAATATACACAAATAGCACTACATACTAATAAAGATCAGATAACAATTGAATGAATAATGAAAATTTAAATGTAGCCTACTGAGAATCTGAATTTTTCCAACAACAAACAGTTAATAATTCATAAAACAAACCAGTTACTTTTATAATTTACTTTGATAGATACTTAACAAACAATATTTTATAAATTTTTTAAATTACATAGATTTTTCCCATTTTTGTATTGATATCTCAATTATTAAATTTAATAATTATACTCCATTATCAATTCCCACCCTTTACTCCACGCCTCTTTAAGATAATTTCCAAGTGCCCGCAAATCTTTGCCATTTAAAAATTAAAAAAAACTCATATTCATTTAAATATAACTTGTTAGACCAAAATTAACGTATCTTTTTTTTATTGGACATTCTGCTATAAAAGGGTACACGGTTCATCCCGGTTGAGATTACATAGTGAACATACAAAAATTTTATTTTCCATATAGAGTTAACTTTTTATTAGACAACCCCCTTTATTTGTAAAAAATGTTTTTTTGGGATGGTTACGAATAAAAAAAAATATCCACCATTTTCCAATATGGCCAAAAACTTTGTTATTTCTTATGGAATACGCTGTATTTTAGTATTCTTTTAGAATTTAAAAGCTATTTTTTTATTCGTGACATTTTTTCTCTAAACCTACCCCACTTAGGAGTTACAGCGTGTTACATCCAAAAGAAAGACTTGTGGTGTACATTCGGCATCCTGTAGCTCATAAACGAGTAAGTTGAG